CACGCACGCACGCACGCACGCACGCACGCACGCACGCACGCACGCACACACACACACACACACACACACACACACACACACACACTTTATCATATTATTTTTCATATAATCTTTGACTATCTGAGATGATGAGTGGCGTCTCGTTAAACACGGTTCTGGCGGAATACCAGTATCGTGGGAAACTGCGGCATTTATGCTGAGCCAACGCCTTTTCACTGCCATGACTTCCAAAACTTTTTACTTTCATTAATTATGTGTGTAGTTATGCTTTCCTTTTGTTATAAAAATTTGTTATTTTAAGTGGTTCAATATAATTATGGTGTTAGTTTTAGTAGATCCTATTTAAATAAGTTGTCATGGAACTGACTAAAGTTTTTATCCATCTATTTATCTAACTTATTTCTGCCGCCAAACAGTAATGTGAGCATTACTGCGTTCCGGTTTTTAATAGTAAGTGTGCTGGTGAAATTACTGGCACATGGGACTTATCAACTCATGTCTCAAGGCGACGGGCGCAGTAGCAGTATCAGGCGCACGACTTGTTCGTCCCGTCACTTGGTATAAAAAAATGGAACGAAATGGAGAATAGATCTTGTTCTAGACATTGCATTCTAAGAGTGATCGAAACTTAGTTTTTCAATTGGAAATTAAACTATTTCGGATCTAAATTTTTCGCTTCGGATCATTTTCACAAATTTTTCTTTTTCTACAGCTAACAGGCGTACAGCCAACTGCTGCGCAGGCACCGCTACCGGGTATGCCAGTCAACCACGCTGCTAGAGACTTCTCCCCGCCCGCGCCAACGCCTGCTCCGGATCATCTCTCCGCTGCTCATCATCAGGTAATTATTTCTCTATGCTAAATATTATGATTTTATTTGATTTAAAAATTTCGAAACTTAATCGCGTATAAGTATTGGATGTTTCACCAGCGGTACAGAAATTGCGAACCTCGACTCCAAAATTCTAATAGTCTTCGTAATTAGTTATTGGCCGCCCTTGATACACAATGTATTGTAGTTTATTTCGACGTTTCGGACGCGTTACAACGTACATGGTCTCGAATCGACTGAGGAGGCGGGTGTCAACATCTTCCAGCCATGCGAGTTTTTCTAACTATATTTATTTGACCGACACTCGATACTCACGATATCGATTTGTCGAAAATTTCCGTTGCTTGCTTTCTGGCGATAATGGACTCAACCCCTTAAGACTCATTATTAGTTATAAGTGCTATTAATATTAGGGGTTAAAGTATGAAATTGCCGTTTTATTGCAATAGGTTCTTTGAATTTTCATAGAATCTTCATGGTTTGAGGTTTTCGAATGAAACTTTTTTCAAATGGTTTCTGTGATTTTTTTTTTTTTAATTTGAAACATTTGAATATCGACTTTCAATTGTTTTTGTTATTCAATTTAGACAAGAAAGATGGATACTGCGAAAATTCGAGTGATTTTTGAATACGAGTTCCGACGCGGAACTAACGCGGCAGAAACAGCCCGCAATATCAATGCTGCGTTTGGAGAGGGGTCTACTAATGAACGCACCGTGCGATTTTGGTTTAAACGCTTTCGTGATGGAAATTTCGACAAAGAACGAGCCACGAGGAAGACCACAGGTGAATAACGATGAATTAAGAGAGATAGTGGAAGCCGATCCTAGTCAAACTACCCAGGAATTAGCGGCATGGTTTAACGTTACCTTACCCACAATATTGACTCACTTGCGTCAAATCAATAAAATAAAAAAATACGAAAAATGGGTGCCTCATGATTTGACTGATCTGCAGAAAGAAACGCGTGTTGAAACTTGTGTTGCCTTGTTGAACCGGTACAGAAATGAAGGAATATTGGATCGAATTGTAACATGTGATGAAAAGTGGATTCTTTATGATAACCGGAAAAGAAAAATGCAATGGCTGACCCCAGGTCAAATGCCACAACAGTGTCCTAAAGCAAAACTTACCAATAAAAAGGTAATGGTAACTGTTTGGTGGTCTCAGCATGGTGTTATTCACTATAGTTTTCTCCGATCTGGTCAAGCAATAACGGCAGATGTCTATTGTGCCGAACTCCGAACCATGTTGACAAAACTAACAGTAAAACAGCCCCGACTCATGAATCGATCTTCACCATTATTGCTCCACGACAACGCGAGACCTCACACAGCACGAGAAACCATTTTGACCCTTCAGGAACTGCAGTTAGAAACCATTCGTCATCCTCCGTATTCACCAGACCTTGCTCCAACGGACTACCATTTTTTTCGTGATTTGGACAATTATCTACGTGACAAGAAGTTTTCTTCCCAGGAGGCAGTACAAAATGCTTTCACACAGTTTGTGCAGTCTAGATCGTCGGAGTTCTATCGCAAAGGCATTAATAACCTTCCCATTAGATGGCAGCAATGTATAGATAATAATGGCAACTATTTTGATTAAATAAATTTGTTAAAAATTTAAAAAATAAACAATTTAGATTTTCAGTACAAATCGGCAATTTCATACTTTAACACCTATTATAATTTGTGCAATATAAATTAGTCAACACAATGCACTGTGTACCATAGTGAAAGTGAATGTGGTCGAGGTATTCAAAATCAACAACTTAGATTGGTTGGTAAATGACTGATCGTATTATAGTTGGGCATCGAGTATATAACCAGAAATGGACTCGAAATAATCCATCCGTTTCTGGCAACTCATCAAGCAAATAGGTCTTATATCACTTTTAAATATTAACTCTCGTTTGCACTGAAATCACAAATCAGAAACCTGAAATAGTACAGTGCCAACAACTGACCTGTGTGTACATACATCTCCGTACATTCTAAAAATATTCTGTATTTATTGTAATAAAGATAATATTTCTAACAATGGGGGCTGTTCGGCCATTCGGTGGTGTGGGAAAAACAACAAAACAAATGGAATCATATTTCATCGGTAATTAAATACTAAATATGTAATTTTTGCAAAGCCTAAATTAAACGGGTCGATTTGAAGTGAAACAATTGACGACACCCGTCAATTGTTTCGAATCGTCACCGTAAATTTGGCAGAATAGTTTTCAAACAAATTAAATGACATTTCGTCTCTGTTTCTAGTTAAATACTCGATGTGTTTGGTACACTTATTACATTATACTTGCTTCTTTATACTATAGAACAATAGAACTTTATCACACTGGCGATTTGCGAGTGATTGAAAGCGATGAGACAGCACGGCGAGCACGGTCTCGCAAATCGTCAGTGTGACAAGACTCTTACATTCTTTCATGCTTGCATTAAGACGTGCTTGAATGTCGGAAAGGATTTGACACCTGGCGATTGTTACACGTAGCTTCATATCTGAGTGGTAATTATTCCAGATAATCTGAGAATAGATAATTAGGAATTTCTTCAACATAATGTTTTTCAAAAGTCAGTCTGTCAGTCTGTGGAAGTTAAAACCAAAGACCTGCAAAATTCTCAGAAACAGTAGTCTGACCGTAAAAATAAGGGTAAAACTGGATACAATATCTTTGTAAAATTCATTATACCAAATCTACGGCGTTTTAAAAAGTAGTCAAATTAAAATGGGAATGAAACAATGTTTTCGGACCTAAATTAGGAATATGTGTTTTTCCAAATAATCTAACGGCTCCTTAGAAGCCTCATGGTCACGACTTACAGTCTGCAGAAGTACCTGAAACGTTGACTTGTTTGAGAAAACAAATATATACAATTTGGATCCGAAAAAATAGTTTCATTCCCAATGTGTTGCAATCACGAAAACCTAAAAACTCTATCAAAATACGTTTTTTTAATGCCATATTTATATTGCAGCTTGCAGCTGGTCACACAGCCGGAATGTTGGTCGGCGGAGGGGTACTGCAGCAGCCACCCACTCATCATTTATTGACACAGAATTCTCTCCTAGGTGAGTTTCATATATTCAAGTGTTTCATATTATTTCAACAATCTAATGCGACGCAATGGGATGTTGCAATGCACGAGAATGTTTTTGAAACTATGACGTCACTGCATCATCATTCCATAATCGCATATATTGTGATCAACATAAAAATAGGATCGTATGTATACAGATGCGTTCGTTGAGACATTTAAGTTTTAAAAGGGGTTTTATGGCTTTTGGCCTATGAAAATTTGTTTGCCCTATTTACGATTCAAGCCTTGTGGTTCTCGGTTCGAAATTACTGTGTAATAAGTAATACTCAACCAAAATTAAAAGATGCATACTTACTTGATATTGTTTTCTAATTTGGTCGAGTATAACTTATTTGACAGTAATTGACCCCATGGCCCTTGTCGGTATAAGCCTACACTATTCTTTACAATCCATAGCCAGCTCTTTGTCTTTTCTATAGTTACTCACTTTAAAGTTCTTCTTTATTTGTTCGCTGCATGCTATTCGAGGTCTTCCACTCCTTTTCTTTCCTTGTATCTTTCCCTCAATTGTAATTTTTATAAATTCATCATTACGTAACAGATGTCCCAACATATTTCATCTTCTATTTTCTATTGCCTTTAAAACATTTCTTTCTACCTTAAACCTTTTTAAAATGTTTTCATTTGGTATTTTGTTTATCCAAATTGATTTCACCTTTAGCCTCCAACACCACATTTCAATCTCTCCCATTATTTCTTTGTAATTGTCAGGGCTTATCCTTTACTATTAAGGCATTCTAAAATTGACACTCTAAAGAGTAGACTCTCTTCGCTCAACTCTGCCGTACTGTTTAAATTGGTTAATTCTGTATGAGATACTAGAGAATTGCTGCATCAAGTTAGAAAACTTTTTGTCCCATTTACGACAAATATCGTATCTTTCAAAGACCAGTTCCGACTACACTAGGTTAAAGAGTTCGTCCAGGGAAGTACCACCATACCTATTTCTGCCGACGAACAGTGAGCGTTACTGCCTTTCGGTTTCAAAGGGTGCTGGTGAAAGTACAGACACAAGAGACTTGTCAAGTTTATGTATCATGGTGACGGGTGTAGTGGTAGCGCCCTTCAAGTGTTTGAGATTTAACGTTCTGAGGGGCACTGCAACTACTATGGGCGTGTCGCTTACAAGCAGGCGTACCATAAGTTTGTCCCGTCACTTTATATCATAATTTTATTCTTCTTCTTCTTCATTAACACAAGTATTAGCTACTAAATAGTTTACAAATATAATTGGGACTTCGCTAAAGGGGCGCTTTTATGTAAACATTGGCTCTGTGTAGTTTTGAATTTAAAAATTGTAACTTAGATATTAAAGAAATAGTTTCACATCGCCAGAGGGATTCGGACCATTGACCTCTCAAAGCAAATATTCACCCACTCGGCAACCACCGCTCTAAATAAGTAATTTTGATAATTTTTTCACATTCCTATTTCATTTAGCTGCAATTACAACGCTATTACTTTTTCTTATCGCATGAACTAACCCAACTAACTGAACCCAGGTGGTGGTGACATCCTGGGCCTGAGCAGCCCCGTGCTCAGCGGTGTATTGCACGCCCATCCGGCACTGCGTGGAGTTAAACCAGCCGCTGTGCATGCGCTCGCCACGCAAGGTCGGTACGTCACTTTATTTGGATCTTGACTTATTGTAGCAAGTCGAATCCGTAAACCCAGCCTATCACTGGCGTGAAAATGTATATTTATGTATGCCTCATAAATACTAAATGGATAACCCATTAACGTCAAAAAAAAACTTCAAACTGAAATTGATTTGAAAAGTGCACTTTAAACTCATTAACATAAGGTAAATTTCATCGATTGTTTTTCAAAAATTCAGACCATTTTGGCTTTGAGTGTACAAGATGTATGAAAGTACGTGAGTAACGTAAGTCTTATATGTATACTCAGAAATTTCAGTCCCACTTCAATCCAGTTAGTTTACAAATGACATCTTTGAATTCAAGTAAGACCACATTTGCTCGAACTTAAAACACTTGAGGGAAGGTTCAGCATAAGTTTCTGCATGATATCGGTTTCAACTTCATACAGTTGATGCGTGAAGTCATTATCAACTTCCCGCAATCGAGGTCTCTGATAACGACTTCACGCTGCATGAAGTCGAAACCGACTTCGTGAAGTCGTGATCGAGTACTATTAAGTTGGAGAATAAATTTCTCAGGCAAACCATTATGTGTTATGTTATGAGTAAGTTTCTCGCCACTTATGAGTAATCTAACGGTTCATATTTTTATACCAAGGTATATTCGTTCGGATAGCGAGAATGTAGAATTTAGACATAATAAATAAGGCACATCGCAATGTACTTGCAGGCAGCTTGCACTTTGAAAGGAAAGTTACTGTGGCACATAGCTTGAACTAAGTAAGTTGTGGTATAGTGGAATAGGCTTAAGCCGGCTTAATGCGGTTCCGTGTCGATAAGTGTGATAACTTCGTAAGATAAGGCTTTATGGTTGTGAGAAATCACAATTAAAATTATCGTAGAATTATACTACGAGAGTATAATCACAGGCACAAGTTAGATTAACAGATTGACTACATGTTCGCAGTTAATGCATGAAGTCATAATCAATATCATCCAGCCGAGACCTCGACTGCGTGAAGTTGATAACAACTGCATGCAGTTAATGCGTGAAGTGGTTATCAACTTGATGCAGTCGTGGTGTCAGCTGCATGAAAACAACATACAAACATGTCAATCTGTTAGGAGCCTTAGTCCTACCTGTTTTTGTTTTGTAAATTAAATTAACAGCTTTTCGTTTCTACAACAACTATTTAAACATACAACAATACATCAGCCAATACACATACAACCCCGAAACTAACTAAACTACAGGCATTTGACTCTGCCGGTTGTGTGTAGTCAAGCTTATAGTTTTATTTTTTTTAAACTTCATCGCTTCCGGAACTAGGCCTACCCATATGTCTCTGTTTATTTTTGGCGCACAAGGAGCCCGTGTAAAGAAAAATAAATGGAAAAAATTTTTGCTTGTAACGTATAAACTGTATCTATAAATTTTAATATAAATTTTATAGAATATCATGTTTTTTACTACCAAATGAGAGGAAATCACTGCACTGGTTCATACAAAGAATTATTAATACAAAGACCGAACACTAAGAAAAACTACTACCAACTAGGAAGGAATTACTGATTTTTAAAGGTATAAATTTTGTTCAAAAAAATAAAAAACAAAATATTTTCTTTAAGTGATACCTTTTATATAGTAAGTCTAGTTATATAAAAGTAAGCCTGTATTTGCCATTCATACCATTCTGGCATTCATAAACATAAATTAAATTAAATAATTTTATGAGTAAGAAAATTTGACTTCAAAACTTCAAATTGTCAGCATTACTCATTCTTAAGGCAGATTCTCTCGAGAAGAACAAACTCCAGAGCTTACTAAAGTACATTTTTTTACATTTGCCCTTTACAATATTTGTTTGAAACATTATAGATTTATAAGAGTTGTAGAGAGTATAAAAAATAAAAAGATAAAAATAATGATCTCAGTTCAGAGAACTAAAAAAACCGAATTCAAAAGTCATTCATCCTCTAGTTTGCTACTCTTAGACGTGGTTTATTTTCGTCAAATTACATGTTACCACTTTTAAGGTACCCACTATCCAACAAAAAACAATCATAAAAAGTATGTTCTCAAAGCCGCCGTTATCGCGTAACATACATACAAAAAAAAACCTTCAGTCGAATGGAATCTCCTAAACCTCATAAATGGCTAATTTTGAAGATCATCCGTAATCTTATTATGGAACACATTGCCCCATAAATGAATTTGTGACCTTGTGAACACGACTATCAAGAACAGTTAAATTATTTATATTACTCGTATTAATGTTATGCCTACACCATATTTCACTTTGAGTAGCAATAGAGCTCCTTGTGTAAGAGTTCGTCCAGGGAAGTCATTGACTTACAAATAAATGGACGACGGGTCTAATACGAAAACCACGAAAAAAATGTCCCAAGTCAACCTATTTAAACGTAGTGACATGTAAAGGAATATGAAAAAGCTAAAACGTTGAATTTAAATTGTAATATCATCGCAGTACTGTCTAATTTTGCTTGCTTCGCTGTCAGTCGAACAAACGAAGACTAAAGCGTGAATGACGCTCTGTATACGATTTTAACGCCCTATAAGTTCGGACACTTTTTAGCGCGGACCTGACGTCCATATAATTGTAAGTCAATGAGGGAAGTACTGCCATCTTAGTCGTGTGTCTGATGGTAAGCGACCCGCCTGTTCCTAACAATTCCACTGACACTCAGAGCTTTAAATCACATAGATCTGAGGGGCACTGCCGCTGCGCCCTTCACCGTGTGACGTAAGTTGCCAAGCCCCATTAGCTTGTAATTTCACCACCACCTTACGCTTCAAAACCGAAACCCAGTTATGCTCACATCACTGCTTGGCAGCAGAAATAGGTAAGGTGTCAGTACTTTCACAAGGAGCTCTGAGACTCACATGGGACTTGTCAATTTATATCACAGTGACGGCTGCAGTGGCAGTGACCCTCAGGTCTTTGCGATTTAAAGTTCTGAGTGGCACTGCAACTGTTATGGACAGGCGTGTAGCTTACCATCAGGCGTACGACTTATTTGTTGATATAAGAAATACCGTTCCCCTTAATATATATTTTTTAATAACGCATACACTCAACATACCTCCGCACTAGGGAAACCCTGTGTCGCGGGTACCATGGACACACATATAGACAACCACAAATTACACCCAAACTCACGAGAGAAATAAATGTAGGCCATACAAATATTTCTGCCGGCCCGGGAATCGAACCTGGGACGTCTGCGTGGCAGTCCGGCATGGTAACCGTTCTGCCACAGAGGCAGTTAAATTACATTTTTATAAATGTACTTTGACGTTAGTGCAATAACCATACGTGTATTGTTAGTTGTATCGGTAGCGATGAAAATCAAAACTATTAGGGGGTACCTTTCTCTGTATAGACAGATATTCCAGAAATAAACTATTTTTGTAAAATAATGACTTCCTCGAACCCTGTTTTTGTCGGCATACTCAATAAAATTTTGCGTCTCAAACAGCGACATTTACTTTTATATCAAAGACATTCAAAGGCAAAGGGAAGGGGAGACAATAACAATTTGCGACACTTCTTTTGTTTCTTTGTTTTTTTTTATTTTATAAAGTTTTTGTTACCGTAATCGCAATAACGGGATAAACTCACTTTTTTGCATGTGGGAGGAAAAAACTGGATTGCTAACTTTGCAGGTGAGATGCCGCACAATACCAAAGTAAACTGTTATTAATTCTATACATTCCAATTTGTAATAAAGCTCTTTGTGTAAGTTTTCGTCCTGGTAAGTAATGTCACTTTAGTTATTTTTGCCGCCAAGTAGTAATTACAGCATTATTGCATTCCAGCTTTGAAGGAAAAGGGCGTACGTGAAATTAAAAGCACATGGGACTTGTCAACTTATGTTTAAAGGTGACGGGCGCAGTGGCAGTGCCCCAGACCTTTGCGTTTAAAATTTCTATTTATGGACTACCAGTCGCAAGACTTGTTCATATACGGGTATCTTGTATCACTTTGGAAGAATCTTTATAACCGAAAATGTCAGAAACTTTAAAGTTGAGTAGGATAAAAAGCATGTAAAGAAATTGGGAGATCCTCTGACACGGATTGCTTGAAGGCCCTGGTCCGAATCCAACCGGATTGAAGGAATTTTTATTAGTAATCGATCTTTGTAAGTATCAAAGCAAAACAGCAAACAAAAGTCAAAACAATCACATTGAAATTTAGAATTAACTAAAACTTAAAACATTAAAGAGACTATAAAATATATACAAAAGATATTTATAGCGCAGTAATCATGGTAGTAAGACATCGTGATATTCAATAACCTTAATAAGTATTACAAGTTTTTAAATTACAATTTAAGTGCCTTTAATAAGTTATGTCCTCCATTTAATACCATTTAACACATTCAAATTCGTAATATAAACAATAACTTATCATCAAAGGATTTTATAAAGACAGTAGCAAGCAATAAGACCTCTTTGAAATATCACAGAGCGGGAGAAATAGACGTCTTGTTCCAACAACGACACGACTAAGCAACGATTGGATAATTGCAAGTACTAACAAAGCGAATGTGCAAATTTGTTCTAGCCGCGGGTTTGGTCTAAATAAAGACCGGGTCGATAATATAAAATAAAAAAATATATAAACTGGCTATGTTAGTGGTAGGGTTCTTAACGCAGCCGGGGCGAGAGAAGGTGAACGCAGTTCGCTGCTCGCCTAACTCTCTTGTGAGACGAGCGGACAGGGGACATGGATCCCTTGTCCGCATTGTATGGTCTCACCTGTCTCGGGGGAAGAGTCAAGCGAGCCAACTCTCCAAGGATAGCCAAGGACGTCGTAATGGTGAATCTTCGGGATCCCATAGCGCCCACAACACCTGGCCAAGAGGGTAAGCCGGGTTTTAGTGGGTATATCTCCCACCTGGAGGTTAGTATTGGGCCTCCCCGGGCTCAAGGGCATACATAAAGCACAGAACTCACTTGGGTGGATATAGAGCCTTCATTCCGGGAATATCAGTCTCGAACATTTTGAGAGTCTCTTCAATTCTTTGATATTTTCGAGAATCGAGACTGATTTTTTCAATCTCATCCAGTCATGCAGCCGAGATCACGACTACATGAAGTTGATAACGACTTCACACATTTACTGCATGCAGTCGATCTCGGGTGCATGCAGTCGAAACCGATTTCAGTTAATGCGTGAAGTCGTTACCAACGTCATGCAGTCGAGGTCTCGGCTGCATGTAGTTGATTAAGATTTCACATATTAACTGCAAACATCTATCTGTTAGCAGCCTTAGAATAATCTGTAGAGATTGGAGAACTCTCAATCTGAAACTACATCAAACGTACTTTATTTCTTCTGTACCCAATATAAAAATGTAAATAAGTTTCATAAATAAGTTTTCCTTAATTAATAAGGAACTTGATTAAAATATCAGGTTTTGACTTCCTAAATACCTAGCCTTTCCACACGCAAAATAAGCTCATAAATCTTGACTTACGGACACTAGACGTCACACGAAACTACCCTTTAAGTATGCAAATATATTTTTTAAATAGTCCCGAATCTCGTCTTTTCCGGTTTTTTTGAGACCGATTTTTTCCGGGACCTGAAAATTCAACGAGACTGACAGCCCTAGTGGGTACCACTGCGTACACATACACACTGAAATGCCACGCTGTTGTATTCCAGACTTAAACAGTATAGACAGCCAGTGTAATAAGATCCTTAGGAGACTTAAAATCGTATCGTCTCCCTCTTCACTAACTGCCGTACCAGATATTTTTGTCATAACTGAGTACGACCTTACTGCTTTTAAAAGCGAATGCTCTGCACAATAGTCATACCTATGCTTTTCATGCCCTGAAAAGTTTGCCTAATACTGCAGTAAATAAGCACATACAGTTTAGAATCCAGTCCAAGTCTACTTGAGAGACGTTGGCTCTCTTTGTGTATTCTAGCGTTTGTATAACGAGCGCTCAGAGGAATTTCTCGAACAGGTGCCACCGTCACGTTACCACCATCGCACCTCCAGCCAAAGGAATAGAGCCCACCTTCTCTACATCCTTGATGCCTGCCATTCTAAAACCACGCAAACATCACATTCGTTCCTTATTCGGACCTGCAAGATGTGGAATGGTCTCCTGCCTGAAACATTTCCTTTGCCGTGTGGAGCTCTTCAAAAAGCGAGTCAACACGGTCCTCAAAGACTGTCAACGCATAGGCAGCACCTCTGATATTGCAGATGTCCTTGGGCGACGATGACTAACTCCCGTCAAGTGGCTCGTCTGCTGGTTATAAAAAGTGCCACTGCAGAGCATTAGTACCACAGTCCATAGACCTGAACCACTAGCACAACCGTCACGTCAGGTTGCTGTCGGGTCGGTCATACCAGCCAAAAATTATAAAATGTAAAAAATCCAAAAACGCTAAACATTTGAACTCAACAATTTATCAATAAAACTCATTTTAGTTTCCACTGCCGCTTCGGTAAGTACACTAAAGATCTGCACGCACTATACGCAACGCGGATCGAAAGACGGTCGAAACTATACAGACCCTGAGCTTCTCACTGTGCGTTTGAAAAAAGCTCTAAGCTATAACGTATGAGCCCTAATAATAAAAGCTTGGAACAGACTCGGCAACAAAACGCATGTAGATCTTTACTGTGGCAGGTGCGGGTGGGTCGGCGGCTGCGAGCACAGCGCGCAAGCGGCCGCTGCTGGGCGGCGCACGGGCCGCCATGTCGCCGACTAAGCGTGCCGTCATGACGCTGCTAGCCAAAGCGAGGGCGGCTACGCATAAGCATACTCCTACTTGGCCTGCGCCACATGAGTAAGTAGCAGTCTAATATGTTGTGACCGTAAACTAAAAAGCTCGCATAGTCGGTGACATTGCTATCCGCATATTTGCATATTTGCCACGTATGCAGTTGCCTAAGTAAAAAATAGTATGTGTTGACCTTAACGTCGATTAAGTGGACCCTCACGATGCGTAACCATGAACAGATTTTGATCTGTATCATATCAAACTAAAGCTAGATAATGGACGGTGTTGTGAAAAAAATGTATTTTTTCTGAGGTGAAAAAAAAACAACGAAAAATAAAATTAAAAGCCTTTTTTTCTAAACGTATGAAAATAAAAATATGACAAGGGAATATTATATTTTTTACTTTAATTTAGCACTACACTGCCTGTTTTTGTTAATATTTTTCTTCATAACATAAATTGCACAAAACAAATGGGCAACATTCACTGGCGTTTATATCTATGGACAGGAAATTTCCCTATCAAAATAATTTCCCCAATCATTGTGTAGTTTATAATATTATAATGATTTTGGAAATTCATAGTCACAGTATTCGTAAAGTTAAATATTCACAGTTAGTGTTTAACTTTTTCTGACACAAAAAATCAATTTTAGAAAAGAAACGAGCAAAAAAATAGAGCACGTATTTTTTTAATGTTTCTTTTCAAAAGTGTGCAAAAAAAGCATCAATTTCAATTTAAAACTGTCTAATTATAATTTTACTATGATTTTTAGTTACATAACATGCAACGGTTACTAGCTCGCTAGTCAGTAACCGGTTTTAGTATATACGTGGTCCGCGAGCTTGCCGCGAGCGGAACGCGTGCGGTTCGCAGTGAACTGTCTGATTGAAGACTGTTTCAAGTGTACACACCAGAACCTTATTCTATATCTGTCACATTACAGTTCGGTAATGAGTACCCGGCTTAAGACTTTACTGTTTTCATGGTCGTTAAAAGAGCTGAGATGTTAAAAGGCAGTGGACTTTGTTCCTTCCGTTCTGAAAAGTTTACCCACAAAACCAACAAATGTAATTTTGGAAAAATATTGGTGACACTCACCTTTAACTCCCATGCAGCTGCGTACTGGCGGCGCTGGCGGTTAGAAGATAACTCCTTGTTTGCGACGAATGAATATTATAAATAATTACTGACAAGCAGTTTTACATTTTTCAGCCAGCGGTTCCGTAATTTCGTATCAGCTTTTCGTCTCAATGACCATCTGAATGACGGTCTCAATCACGTTTCTATTTCCTTCTTTTTGGGTATAAGCCAAGCGCGAAAGGAGGTCGGAGAATGCCCCCCAATCTTTTCCCAAAAATACCTTTAACGGTTCATGGTCTCAAACAGTCGCAAAGGAGCATATTAAATATTTTGTATACAACATTTTAGTACTTGTACCGTTAGGTACAATCGTTGGCCAAAGAAATTAAGATTAATTTTAATGAAATAAAAATCTTTCTTTCGATTCAATATTGCAATTAATAAAGCGACATCTGTAGTCAGCCGCTGGTAGCTGTAAAGGTACCTGGCTGAGAAAACAAAAACTTTCCATAGGTGGCGCTACGCCTAAAAACTCGATCAAACCGGAAGCAAAGATCTGCAACAAGCACACAGATAAATTTCCAATAGTCTGCGGGTACGTTCCGTAGCTGAGTTGGGAGAGCTTCAGGTATGCTGAAGATACTGGTTCGAATCCAGCCGCGTCGAAAGATTTTTTCTTAGTATTTGACCTTTGTATTAATATTATATAACAAACTAGTGGAGTAATTTCATAAGAAACAAGTGAATACCATAGTAGTAAAAAATCGTGATATTCAATAAACGAATGATTATTTAATTATTTTTAAGTATGCATTTACAGTTATAGTTATATGAATCTTCTTTTAAGTATAACAATGCCTGTGTTAGAGGTCTCTGTGCCCTACAAAACATAAACAAAATTTGAAAAGCGCGGGAAGTTATATAAACACTTCCACGCGTCGAGAACGCACTAGTAAAAATCGGTTAGTTTGATTTGCAGCGCCTTATATATGACTATGACTGGAACATTTCTAACGTAGGATTGTCGCGGTCGGTTGGCAGCACTGGCAGAGATTCTCATAACAATAAATCTATTTGAAATAGTTAATGAAATAGGTAAGGTGTCAGTACTTTTCCAAACGAATCCTTTCACAAGGAGCTCTATAAAATGTTTTACTATGTTCCGATGTGTTACTAGCATGATAGTGTGTTATTTTTTTAAATGACCACACTAGTTTGTTGTGTGTTTGTAATTATTAATACAAAGATCATCATCATTCAGCCATGCAACGCTCGCTGCTGGGCATAGACCTCCCCAAAAGATCTCCACGACCATCGGTCCTGCCCGCATCCATCGTGCGCGCTCGCCATTGAAGAACCTTTCCGCACCAATGACCATTGGTTCTCCTAGCTATATGTATGCCCCGCCCACTGCCACTTCAGCTGAGCAATTCTTCGAGCTATGTCGGTTACCTTAGTTCTCCTACGGATTTTCTCCTTTCTGATTCTATCACGTAGGGAAATACCGAGCATCGCTCTCTCCATTGCCCGCTTAGTGACCTTGAGCCTTCTTATGAGGCCCATAATACAAAGATCGAACACAGAAAAAGCTATAGTATCACAAAAATTTACTTTCCAAATTTTTTCACTTTATTATAGAGGGTGCGATATGACCAGACCAGAGTAGAACGCATATTATCTATCAAAGCGAACAACTTACTACGAGAACCCGTGAAATGGCGGGAATAAAATCAGCTATTTCATACTAAAAATTTATTCCTCCCTTGACCCCAGTATATGGAACAATTGGTATTGAAAGGCCCTCGTAATATAAATTATTCTAAAATATAAAATATTCATTTCGTTAATGAATATTTAAGAGTTAATTTGTATTTAATTAATCCTTTATTGCACAGGAAAACACAAATCACATTAAGTAAAAAGGAAAACACACAAAAGGTACTGTTCTTTCTAAAAGGTTTTTTTTTTCTGCGGATTTAAATACAGGACCTAGTAATTACAATACGGGTTTACGTGCATAACAAATAATAATCTCAGTACAGAGTACTAAAAACCCGACCTCAAAAGTCATCCTCTAGTTTGCCACCCTTAGAGATGCAATATTTTCTTCAAATTTAAATGGGACCACTTGTGATGCACCCTCTTTCTAACTAAAAAAGAATCATCCAGATCGGATCACAAGTGCCGGAGTAATCTTGTAACATATATATAAAAGAAAAAAAAACATACAGTCGAATAAAGCTCCTCCTCCTCCTAGTCATTTGCCTGTCAAGTATAAAAAAAAAATAAAAAAAGAAGTCTGTTAAAAAGTAAATAATAAAATAAAGAAACAATATCAATAACATTAAATTATTATAAAGTATAATATCAATAACTACATATGGACTGTGAACTGGCAACCGGTACCTATTATCTCAATTTTCAGAAGATTTCACTTTTTAATACCATTTTGTACTATTTCATTGTCCACGGCAAATTCCATTGTTGTTTAATAACATGTACAAATTTTTTTTAAGCTACGTATTTTTAATTAAATTTTTATTGAATTGATATTCAATTGCTTTTTTGTGAAATTACTCCACTAGTTTGTTATAATTATTAATACAAAGATCGAACACTCAGAAAAAATTCCCCAGGACTGGTAGCTGTAAAGGTACTAACTGGGTGATAAATCTGCAATAGAGTTCTCATAGATGGCGCTACGACTAAAAAGTCGTTGAAAGACCAAGTACAAAGACACGACGCAAGCACATAGAAAAATTCGTGAGGTCCGTTGGTTCGTTCTTCGTTCGGTCTGGCACGGTATGCAAGAAGACGTCGGTTCGAATCCGACCGGATCGAAGGAATTTTTTCTGAGTGTTTTTTCTGAGTGTTCGATCTTTGTATTAATTACTACGTATTTTTATTTAATAAACCAGATGCTATATATAATATAATACCTGTAAAATTGAAGGAACAGTGGATAAATAGTGCTCTTTAACTCTCATTTTGAAAACAGCCAGGCTATACTATCGTGAACTGTAATGGGAATTACGTTCCGTAGTCTGATCATATGAACAGTAAAGGAGTGGGAATAAACTCCGGAATTCAAGGATGGAAAAGATAACTGGGACCTAACGATAGAGCGACGGGTCTTATCCTGGGATCTGAGAAAGCTGATCGCTTTCAGATACCCAGGAGACTAGGGCTGTGTAGAATATTGCAAAAGTTTTGTTTTTTGTCTTATTACTTTTTCTTTCTGAACATAACACCTGATAAAAAGTTAAAACTAGTGCAGTTTCTAAATTTGTATTGAATTGATATTCAATTATTTTTTGTGAAATTACTCCACTAGTTTGTTATAATTATTAATACAAACATCGAACAGTTAAGAAAAAAATCCTTCGATTCGGCCGGATTCAAACCGACGTCTTCCAGCAAACCGTGCCAGACGCTATGCCAACTAAGCCACGGAACGAACCAGCGGACCTGACGAATTTTTGTACGTGCTTGTCTTGTTGTTGGATCTTTCTATTTGGTTTTTCAGCAGTTTAGTTTTACTCGATCGCATTCAAAAATATATAACCTGATAAATGAAAACATGCGCAATTATTGTGTGGTCATATTCTTGGTATTATACCGCCATGTGTGATCATACATCAAAAGTGCTATTATTACATGAAAGCAGAGAGGGTAGTGGGCTAAAACCCAATGAACCCGCCCGGGTTTTTACAAAAAGGGCCGGTTTTAAGCCATATCTGTCCAAAACCGTAGACAGAAACGGCGAATACGAAATTTGTTATAATTCCATACTTATTTCAAATGTCAATGTAAAAAAATCTTGTTTAGACGAAAAAGATGCAACCGTATTGCGTTGCAGCATTTGCTGTGTTAACTCACCTTTTCCAAGAATAGACTCTACGCTTCTAATACCTTCAGATTTCTTCATTTATACAAATTGTAAAGAAAGAGGAATGTTTATTCAATCAAATGAGTCGCTTTACACACTTAAATCTAATACATAACCTATAATATGTAACCTAAAACAGCAGGTTTATTCATAACTGAGTAATTTTTAAATCAGAAAGTACGTATAGTGGCGCAGAAGAGAAAAGGATGCGAGTCAGCAAAATGTCTATCTCGGGCGAGATTAGTGTTGGGTAATGGAAGAATTCATTTTGAATTATTCATATTTTTCAGAAAAATAAACATTTTTCAGAATCCGTATTTTTCCTATACTTTTCCACATTTGACAGTTAACACCTGTCAACACCTTTGACACTTTTTTTCACTGTTGTCCAATCATTAACCGACTTCAAAAAAGGAGGAGGTTCTCAATTCGACTGTATGTTTTTTTTATATGTATGTTATGCGATAACTTCGGTATTTGTGCACCGATTTTCATGATTCTTTTTTTGTTGGAAAGAGGGCACCTCCATAGTGGTCCCATTTAATTTTGAAGAAAATCATCCACCTCTAAAAGTGGCTGTTCACGCATGAAGATTCATTTTTATAAATAGCGCCTAAATTTTATTATAAGGACCAATTATTTTAATGGTTGATTTTGCTATTCTCTAATTCGAGGCGTTTTTCTCTCTCAATATACTTTGAGTAATGAGAACCGATTTTTATTATCTCCTATGTCAAGTTCCGTATAGTGGTAACCGATTTCAATAAAACTTGGCAAATAGATCAATTCCACGTACTTTTGAGGTCGGTTTTTTAGTACTCTGTACTGATTTTAAATCTTGTTTTCCTTTATCTTACTTGTAACTTATACAGTTTTATTTTATAAATGACGCTACATAAAACTTGAAAAGATATATCTAAATGTAGAACATAATTGAGCGTCGAATTATATTTTCCCAATTTTTCTGAAATTTGAAATTTTCCGGAAATTACCGAATAGTAATGTAATGAAGCTTCTTCTTGCTTCTTCGTCTTTTGATTTGGTCCAGTATTGCTTATTTGAAAGTAATTGTTTTGGACGGATGTCGGATGGAGAACGGAAATAGACCCCCTGTTTCAGGATCAAGCGAGTCCATCGAGTATATAACCAGAAATAGAGACAAAACAAGGGCCATCTATGCCTGGCAACTCATCAGGAAAATGGGTCTTATTTCACTTTTAAACATCAACTCTCGTTTGCACTGAAATCACAAATTAGAAAACTAAAATAGTACAGCATGAACAACTCGACCAGTGTATACGTCTTCGTATATTCCAAAAATGTGGTGTGGTGTGAAATAAACTGCAAAACATCTAATTACAAAACAAACGGAATCACATTTCATCGGTAATTAAATATGTAATTTTTCAATTTCCGTCCATTATACCAAAGCTCAACTTTTTTTTATAATATCAAGTGACGGGACGAACAAGTCGTGCGCCTGATGGTAAGCTATACAACTGTCCATAACAGTACCAGTGCCACACAGAGCTTTAAATCGCAAAGATCTGAGGTTTCACTGCGCCGTCACCCTGAGACATATGTGCCTGTAATTACACCAGCACCCTTACCCTTCAAAACCGGAACACAGTTGTCACCGTAATGATTTGGCAGAACAGTTTTCAAACAAATTAATGACATTTCGTCTCTATTTCTGGTTATATACTCGGAGAAGTACATATACTGTGTGTATCTTCTGTTGTAGACATACGAAATTTACCATATTTCTAATTAGGTTTCTTTTCGTCATATACCTTTATATAATCAAATATTTTTTCTTCTTTTACAGACACACGGCGCTTCTACCTCTTATAAGAGACGAATTTGTGACAGGAGTCGGCGTGAATATCAACCTAGCGTAATTTAACATTCTACAGGGCCGAGCTTAGAAGGGGCGCTAAAATACCGAGGGCGCTAGTTCAATATAAAAACATATGATTTATAAATTAAACAAAAAATATTTAATAAACCTAAGCTTTGTTCTACAGCAATGATTAAGAGGTTGGAACAGTTATACTATACTTTAAATGATTTTATTTTCTAATTATTGGTTGTTCAGGCAATTTTCTTTATATATAATGAAATAATATTATTATAACGAATAATAAAGGCAAAAATAAAACTAAAATCATATGTAAAATATATCATTTATGTGAGCCATAATAAAAATGCATATTCTAGTCAAAATATTGTACTTAGAAATAAATTAGTATGACTATATAATAAAAAATAAAGTAATTATAAAAATCATTATTTATATTCTGGTCGAACTTAGGTAAGATTTCTGTATAAATTTATACTAGCAATGTATATTTTGTTGTTTTATGTTTCCAGTTATTGTAAAATTTTAATTATATTGCTTAGATAAATCAATAATGTCAGAGGCCCGATTCTTGTGCCACATAAACAATGTTACATTAGGGAAATGTAGAAAAAAAATGTGGCGAATCTCAATTGTATAAGGTGTCTGGTGTTCTCGTGTAATCACGATAAAAATAAGTCTATCCTCAGCTTTCAACTATACGAGTGGTTGGAGGTGGTATAGTATGACAGGATAATGACACAGAAGCGGGAAAAAATGTTTTGTCAGATCAAATGGATTAGGTTTTTACTATTAAATAACGGTCTAATAAAAAATATACGATACACTTAAGGACATTGTCTAAAGAATGTGCTAATGTGTTACGAGTTTGGATGTACTTTATCGGATCATATAAAATCCTGAAAACAGGTTAAAAAATCTAAAACGTATTATTTAAGAATAAAATATCTAACTTTCAATACAATTCTTATTTGGAGATATTTATTTCTCTTTAAATACTACAGAGAACCTGCAAAATTTTGGTTTTCAACTGAAGGCTTATTAGTTATTAAATTCATATTTAGCGCTAAATTTGAAAATTACCCAGCAGTTTAAAGACACGCCGCGCAGCGCCCTCTGTTACCCAGTCAGTCACCATCGGGCGCTTGTAGATCTGTGTTAAATTTTCTCCACCTGTTCTTATTTTATTCAAATTAGTTTACAGCGCGCGAATTGCGGGACGCGAGGGGAACTCCCCACACATCATCATCATCATCAAAATCTCTACTAAAGTAAGACTCATTTTCTACTCTGGTTACAAAAACATGATAACAAAACTGAAGGCCCTAATTGTGTTACATTCAATTTCAGTCGTAACTCAATTAACAGCAAGAGATTTTCAGTGTACAAAATATTTAATCGGTGTGTTTGAAAACCTTAAGAACAGTACATGTGCGTTTATTGAATTTAAAACCTTTCTAACTACCATCTTTAGAGACACCGAGAATAAGAATTTTTAGACAATAGAGATTTTATTGACTTTTCTGTAGACACTGGGGACGTGACATTATTTCGAAATCGTGAAATGTTACAACGTACGAGAATTGGTTCTCTGGAGGTTTGACGTAGATATCTATGTTTAGAGTTACTGCGTCTAGAATTTAAGTATATTCTAGGTTTGCGAATTTTAGTAAGTATTTATTTTCAATCGGATTTACATACTTTGCATTATATACCTTGTTAATAATTTTATTAGTTAATCTAATGTAGTATAGTTATCAAAGCATTTCGAGAATTATAATATTATCGGCGTTTATGAGAGCTTTTTTCTTGTCATGTTAAGTGAGGGGACAAGCAAGTCGTGCGTCTGGCATAACAATTGCAATGCCACTCAGAGCTGTGAGTACAAAAATCTGATGGTCATCTTTTACCAGCACCCTTACCCTTCAAAACTGGAACACTGTAATGCTCAATACATTTTTTAAAAGGCTTGGCTGAAGCGTCGAAATATTTTTTTTTATACAAAAAGAAGAAATACTTGCAAGAAGGATTATTACTAAGAACTTTAATAAATGGGAAAAAATTCTAGCAAGAATAATTTGTATTTAAATAAAATCACGCAATTAAAACAATAAATGTTTGATAACTATACAAAACTTAGATATAATTATGGACCACGAAGTATTAATATCCTATGCCTTTTAGAAAAATTTATAGTAGGCTATACAAGAACTATATCATCATAGCGTAAGCAAAATTATTGCAAACGAATATTTAAAGTTTAAGTAAAAATACAATAACCCTATAAGTTAGTGTCATTAAAATTAATGTAATATTTTAATCAACTTTTAAGGTAACGTATTTTGAACATTTACCAAAAAAAATAACGAATCACTGAAACAACATCAATTTTATTTATATTATAATACTACGATATAAGAAGTTATTAAATACACAAACTTCAAGCACTAAGCACTAATTTTGGATTTGTATATTAAATTTTAAAAATTCAAAGATATTAAATTTCCGCACAAAATAGCACTAATCGACATTGTACCTAATTCTTTAAAAGTTGACGTTAAAATGTAAAAAAATGTAGGCTAATTATAGCTTAAAGTACAGCTTTTAAGTAGACGACGCATGGGCGCTGACGACCATGTTTTAATATTATATATATATACTAAGACATAGACTAATTAAGACTCATTAAGGGGTTATACCCATCTGATCCTCTAAACTGATCTACCTCCATTTTAAATCTCAACTGATCCCCTGTATATTTTGCAACTCCCAAAGGATCCCGTCATTGTTTTTGTAAGGAGAAAAATGTAAAGAGATAATGAAGTTTTGATATCAAATATTCATTTATTGAGCAATTTATGATCAAATGTCATAATTATTACAGACAATCAAATTTTTTGAGACAAGTCATTAATATTGACATATTGCAAATCAGGAGTAACAAAAATCAGATTTAAACAGTATTTAAGAAAATAACAAAGGATTACCACTAAAGAATTGTTAATGTTGTTCATTTCTAATAAACGAAATAAAATACAGTACAACCCTCAAATACATTTTCTTGTTGATTATACCACTGTACCTACCTAAAATAAATATATAATTATCAGAGTATCGCGTGTGAATAAAATAGTAATATTTATTTTTGGTCCCCTGTAATAGGGATCCGATGGGAATATAAAATAATATAAAATAAAAATGATCCCCCAGGAGATCGGTTTAAGGGGATCAGATAAGAATAACCTAATTAAGCTACAATATAATTCGAGATATGTAAGCATAAGATTGTAACAGTTTATTTCTATAAAACACTTTTTGCACTAAACCGTTTTTAAAACACCAATATTCGTTACTTATAAAGGATACATAGAAAGCAAAATAGCGCCCATGGAATTAATCCTAGCAAATGTAGTGATAATAGAACAATGTTAACATTACTATATAATTAAAAGTAACTTAGTTAACATAAATGTTACAGTAAAAAAAGCCTCGTCCAAGGGCAGTTCAAAAATGTGTAAATAAGAATAAAATTTTCTTGAATTAATAATTTGAAAATGATTGAACTGTAATTTGAAATGTAATTTGGATGATGATAAGCAATAATATGTTAACCAACAAACCTTGAAAATTATGATACCAAATTTTAGCTTGTCGTCTCATCTAAATTTTACAAAAATAAAGTAAGTGACCTAAAACCTCCAAAATAATAATAAAAAATGTTAAAGATAATGAACATAAATCCAATAGACACTATGCCTAAAAAATTTAGGCGCCATTTTCTCTAAACTATGATCACTTTGGTTGACACGTTATTGCTTATCAGCATCCATTTTTTACTTCTTCCCCTGAACTTTAATACCTTTCTCAGATGGAACAGATCCCTTATATAACGAAAATGTAATGTCGAATTCGACGTGCCATATTTTGCGTCCGTGTTAGGCGTAGCTGAATTCGGCACTGGTGTCAAAGGTTCAGAAGAAGTTTTCGACCTGGTGCCACTATCACGTTTCAACCATCGCACCTCCCATCAGCATCAGCATTCTAAGACATCTGACGTTCCTTTCTTCAAAAAGCGTGTCAACAGAGCTCTCAAAGGCAACGCATAGGCGGCGCATTTGAAGTTGCACATGTCCATGGGAGACGATGACCACGTCTGCCTCCTCACGAGACCATTTGCCTCCTACAAGAAAACAAAGACAGTCGAAGTTAGGTGCCGTCAATCATTTTTAAAATATTATTTTAAGTTAATTTTCACCTAAAGTCAATAAAATAACACATTTATATGTAAGTATGAGTGTCAAATGGTTAATAAAATTAAGTAAAATGTGTCGCTTACCGCAGTGGAGAACGGTAAGTGCATATTGTTTTAAACTTAGCTCATAAAATTATCTCTAAAAGTAATTTTTTTGTAACATGTATAAATAGTAACTTGGAATATAATTGCTTACATCTCGTCTGTGTTTTGTGATATTTAGGTAGATGAAATTTTGCAACCCTTATGAGAATATTTTTACTATATTTTAACGAAAAAATTGTATAAATAATCATTTTCTAAAAGTTGTTAATATGGCTTTCTATCGAATTAATATATATTTATTACTTTTATTTTTTAATATTCTTTTATGATTTGTATCGGGATGAACAAGTTGTGTGTCTTGTGGAAAGCGACACGCCTGTCCTTAACAGTTGCAGTGCCACTCAGAGCTTAAATCGCAAAGACCTGACATTGCAACTACACCCGTCCCCATGGAGTTGACAAGTCCGATGTACCTATCATTAGTTTCACCAACACTCTTAAAAACCGTAACACAGTTTTTGTTTGGCAGTAGAAATAGCTACAGTGGCAGTATTTCTCTGGACGAACTCTTTCACAAGGAGCTCTACCGCTACTATTTTGTCGAAAAAACAATAACACGAACTAAACCCAAAGTATCAATAAGAAACTAGAATTAGAATTTAAACAATAATATGTCACATCTTGTAAAAAACGTGTACTGAAACTTTTGTATGTGATACAACTGAATATGAGACCCAGACGATAATAAGGCCACATGTGACCGTACGCCAAAAGCGCTTTTA